CAGCTGTTCCCATCCCTGTCCCTCTCAGTGACTTTTCCCGGGATTGGGACACCTGAGGCTCTCTGGGCTGGAGAAGTTTCTCCCTCTCCCCATCTCCCCTCCCCTCCCTGGCTCCCCCTCATCTCCCCCCAAACCAGACCCAACCCCGCTCATTTCCCCCAAATCGTCCCATCCGTATTTTCCCCAGGAGACTGAACTGGACAATGTGGATAACAAGGAACAGGAACAACTCTATTTCAAGAGTAAGCAGCAATCACCATCAGGGCAGGAACACGGGCAGGGCACAGCAGCCCTGGGCACCGGGGCTGGCTTAGCCCCACAGCCATGGCCCCAGCCGGGGCTGCTGGAGATCCTCTGCAGCCACAACGGGATCTGCTCTTCCTCCTCATCAACCCATTCTGTCCTTCAGGAACTCCAGGAACTCCTGCAGAGTCCTGAAGAACCTCTGCAGGATGTCTTTGACGTCTTTGGGGAATGAAATTGTCATGACCGAGTCCGATTCCGGTTCTGGTGACGCCGTGATCGCAGTCAGGATTAGGGTCGGGCTCGGGATCAGCGGTGCCACTTTCGGTGTCCGGGCTGACTTTGCTGAAGCCAATCCCAGCTGGGCTTCGATCCATCCGTGGAAGTGCTGGGTGGACGTGAACACTCCAGCGCGTTTTCGTCCGGAGCAGCCTCGGCCCCAGCTGGCCAGTCCCACCAGCCAGAAGTAGTCACCGACCTTGTCCTTGCACACCAGGGGTGCCCCAACGTCCCCCTGGGCCACGAGAGAGGGGTCAGGGGCTGCTCCAGGGTCACAGGGGGGACAGAGGGAGCTGGATGGGATTTGGGGACATGGGGACACTGGGACAGGGATCCATGGGTGGGAAAGGGAACAGAGGGACACAGGGACAGGGAAAGGGAGGGAACGCCAGCAGTGCTGGGACAGGGGTTGGGAGGGAACCGGGCCGAATTTGGGGTCCCTGTGCTGGGTGTGAGGGGTTCAATGGGGCCGTGTTTGGGGTCCCTGTGCCGGCTCTGGGGGTTCCATGGGGCCGTGTTTGGGGTCCCTGTGCCCAGCCCGCACCTGGCAGGTGTCGATGCCGCCCCGCGGGTACCCCGCGCACAGGTCCTGGGGGTGCACGGCCCCCCTGTACCAGCGGCTGCTGTTGCACAGCTGGACGTCCATGAGCCGCACCTTGGCCTCCTGCAGCACCAGGCGTGGGCTGGGGGCTGCGGGCACAGAGGGCACAGAGGGCACAGAGGGCACAGAGGGCACAGAGGGCACAGAGGGCACAGAGCACCCCCTGGGGCCGTGCCCCCGGCCCGCGCCTGGCCGCATGGCCAGAGCCAGGCTCAGCCCCCGGGGGCACTGACCGCTGCCCGGGGTGGCTCTCCAGCCCGCCATGTAGCAGGTTTTCAGCTCGGGCACTGCCAGGGAGCTGTCGGGCACACAGCCCAGCTGGATGTAGTCACTGCACTCCACGGGCTGCTCCAGCTCCATCAGGGCGATGTCGTTCCTGGCCGTGGTGGCCTCGTAGCCGTGGTGCACCAGGATCCTCTTGATGTGTCTGACGGCGGCTTTGGGGCCCGGCTCAGCCAGGTCTGTGGCCCCGATCGCCACCTTGTAAATGGAGACGTCCCTGGGGAGCAGAGGGGTCACAGGGAGCAGAGCCACGGCGTGTGACAGCCCAGCAGCTGCCCGTGCTGTGGGGACAGCCCTGTCCCTGGTGTGGTGCCATCCCTGTCCCCATTGTGGGGACAGCCCTGTCCCTGCCATGGGGTTATTCCTGACCGTGTTGTGAGCTCATCTCTGTTCCTGTTGCAGGGACATCCCTGACCTTGTTGTGGAGACATCCCTGTCTCTGCTATGGTGACATCCCTGACGTTATTGAGGGGAAATCCCTGTCCCTGCTGGGGGGACACCCCTGTCCTT